TGAATGACATGATCGACTTCTACCTGATGCTGATTGACGACGACCCGAACAACCGGCGCCTGTCTGGCCAGAGAGGACATCTGGGCCCAGTGATCGCACCGGCGCGGCGACCGTTGACCGCTGTGGAGCGTTCAGTTGTGTGCATTTATTTTGCTGCTTGTGTTCATTGTTATTGCAGTGTTACGTTATGTTTTTTTTATGTGGCATGGCCATTGGCCATACACAAATGAAATTTTGTTTATCATGTTGCATTTTTTTTTACCAGAGGCATTTCAAGCCGATGAGCCATTACTGTGGATTGAAATGATTCGTTAGCTGCATATATTTATTTGTTTAATAAAATATACTTGTATTAAAACCAAATTGTGTTGTATCGTGCAGTGGGACTAAAAAATAATTCTATGGTGTTTTACGCACGTGTTACCAATTCATTATCTGCGAATATTTGTAGAGACAGGCCGCAAGTTCAATCAAATCAAATACAGTTATGGGTATGTCGATTATGAATGCTCAGCTCATACATATTGATTATGTATACGATGAAGTTGGATAAAATCGTAAACGAAATTAAAATATCTTGGTCAAAATTGATTCACGCCCGTCTATATCAGATGGACGTTGACATATTCAGTGCACTATGTCTAAATCCACTGAACAGTGTCGAAGTTGCGCACACTGCCTATTTTCAATGCCCCTTATCGTGAAGGCGCGTTGTGTCGATGGGAGGCGCACAATGTCGAAAGAGCACGCCTGTTGCCGGCTTAAATGAAATAAGTCTATATGACCTGCACAGATGCCGACTCGCAATGAAAAAAGGTGTATTGGGACCACTTACTGGGCCGTTACCTTTTAACGGCGCCACGTTCTAAAAAGATAATTGAGGGTGGTGTGTTGCCGCTAAGTGCGCCACCATTCAGTCAGCGGCAAAAGTCCTTATTACTTAATTGGTACCGGTAATTAAATTAAAGTGAGCGTGCAATTAAGGTGCCTTGCACGTTGAACATATGAATGTATCCCAGTACCAAGAAAATGTTGGATTTCTTGGCTCATTTTCTGCAAAGTGCGATCCCCAAATGACAGTGCATCTCACTTATGGTTAAAATGGTCCGGCCAAGGCTCTAAAAGTATCGGCATACATGGCCACGCTTAGACATTTCCTGACGTATTTCATGTTGCTATATTTATGACACGGGGTACACATGTCTCGACTTTCTCCAACTAAAATGACCGTCGCATTTTTTTTTTTTTTTAATGTCAGCTGTTAGAACCTTTCGGATCATAAGAACTGACAGGCATTGAAGATTGTGGCAATACCGTAGTCGCGTCGCGCCCAAAGCCCCTGCTCGTAGTTGTTCCGTGGCGGACATTTAGTTCCAGTAACTCTTTGATCTTCGCCAGCTAATAGACCAGCCATCAAAGAACAGGATGCAATGAAACCGAAACCCGACTAATCCCTATATGAACATAAACTCCTGTGAAAGTGCAGCGCAAATAAAAGTTGTTGCAATGATACGGCATATCTCACGGCATGGGTCTTTAAGTGCCTGTCATCTGTTCGTAATCTTGCATTGTCTATCTGCTTACTGGTCATGGCAGCCAGATCCGAGGCGGGCACGTGGTCTTTGCACAGCGTGTAACCACTGCTCAGATACACGTGGTCAAGCCCAGACCCGTTGGCCGTTCATCCGACCCCTGAGCAAATCATATACGGCCGGCTCGTTAAATTTACGCGTACCTTTATTTATACAGCGCGGGACAGCACGTAAAAGTTGGTTTTATGACTGCATGGACCACGGCTCGTGACGTCGGACCCGTTGCCTGCCTGTGTGCAACACACCGTCGCTCTCTCGTCTGTAACTGCAGAGCAGACCTCTCACCAGCCCTTGGGTGACGACGGGCGGGGCGGGTGCGACAAACGCCTATTGACACAGCGGCTGGCGGTGGATGCTATCGGGCCAGCGGTGTCTGCCCGGCCGCCGCGCCGCTCCGCAGTGCTCTGCGCGACACGGCCCGGTTCTCATGGCCCGGTGGTAGCGGTGGGACGGACAGCACTGGGATAGCAGCCGAGGTGTGGGTGTGACCGAGAGGTGACGAGTGTTTCCGAGACGGAGAGTGGCAGAGAAGTGCAGAGAGTAGACAGGAGTGGTTTGAATTGGTTCTGGTCTGGACTTCTGGTGGATCCGGCATCGAATTCGCAGATTGCTGTTAATTTGGTAAGCATCTGAACCAACATCTGCACGCAATGATGGGATATGTGCTTAGGATGATTGATGATGGGATTTGGCTAATGACAGTTACCTATACTAGTTTTGAGAATTGTTGTGCATCATTGTTGAGCTCCAGGGCAGTTCCTCTTTGCTAGTTACTTGACTTGCATGTTCCGGGTTTACCTTAATTGAAACTGCTGAGTGCTTTGCATTGTTAGACTCGCGGAAACGGCTCACCCTTAAGTGTTTTCCCGTGCATAGGTAGCTTAACAAATGAGAACCGGCATCCCTGTTCGTTTCTCGATATTCTCTCGACCGGTGTAACATTTCCCCTTCGCCAGCTGTCTGTTACACCGTTTCTTGATGTAGCATTCCCGCGACTCCTGCTGTCTCGTTACACCGTTCTTCCGTGTAGCATTCCCGCGACGCTAGCTGTCTGTTACACCATTTCTCGATGTAACATTTCCGCGACTCCTACTGTCTCGTTACACCGTTCTTCCGTGTAGTATTCCCGTGGCGCTAGCTGTCTGTTACACCATTTCTCGATGTAACATTCCCGCGACTCCTACTGTCGTTACACCGTTTCTCGGGGTAACATTCCCGCGACTCCTGCTGTCTGTTACACCGTTCTTCTGTGTAGCATGCCCGCGACTCCTGCTGTCTCGTTACACCGTTTTTCTGTGTAGCATTCCCGCGACGCTAGCTGTCTCGTTACACCGTTCATCCGCTGCTCCGTTCGTGTTTTCTCGGGAGCTGCGTGTCGGACAGTTCATTCAGCCACCAATCAGGTGGTTTTGTCCGACTCCCGGGGGCCAGTTTTTCACCCAGTCCCCGTTTTTATCGATGAGGATGTAATTACTATCGATTAGGATTATGGTACTTTGGCTGGTCTTCAGTAGATTGATTAAGAGGTTTGTTAATAGGGCGCCGCCCATACACGATGCGAGGGCCAAGTCACGCCATGAAGTAGTATAATGAGGAATTTGATTTGCGTGTAATACATGCAAATCGATGTTGAACCATCCGGACACTTCGCGCCCAACATGAAATTTAGTAATTAAGCCACGATTCTCCAAGGACGAAAGCTTAAATCTCCATTTAAGTGCCCACCAAATACGCTCTTGACAATTTTTTATGGACAATACAACATAACCAAGGTTCGACAACAATTCAGTCGCTGTTTTTGCGTCTTATTCCCGTCTGTTAGCTGTCTGATTAATTGTCGGATTGACAACTTGTTTGACGAGCTGCCATTCCACTGTCGACTATGTGGCTGTCTCCCAGCTCAACAAGACGGCAACCATCCGGAACGAAACCCCCAGCTCACTCATAAACGGGCTGATGATTGATAACTCAACCCTCAACGCCACCGCTACCCATACTATGTCGTTTCCACCATTCTTTCCACAGTATCCGTCACTACCAGCAACTCTGCCATCACTTCCATCCCGTTCACCCACATCGCTCTGTCCGTCTGCTCTCGTCTGACCTCAGCTGAGTCGCCGAGGACAGTGCCGGTCTCTTTGTCACGTGGGTCGTGTCACTGGCGCCCCTCTGGGCAGCCGCCTATTGTGTGCTAATCGAGAGACGAAGGGCGACTATAAGACATGGATACTGGACCAGATATCGAACGGGATACTGATAGTCGGCTGGAAGAGGTCAGCAGCTGCCGCGTTGTCGGAGGAACACATGGGCGTGACTGGTTCCGGGCTTGGCTCTTTGTAGTTCACGCTTGTTCACATGCCGAGGACAAGATAAGAGCCATTGGCTGCCACTTGGTGCCTCACGCGAAGACCAAAGTTCAGGGTGTCCGTCGATTATGCTCGAACACTGATAAGCTAGTCCGCATCACTTGACACTGCTGTTTTAGTTCAGTCACGTTTTCCGGTCACGGAAAAGTGGTCGAGGAAGATGCGTTACTTTTAGGCCTGCGCTATCTCCCTGTTATTTGTGATTGATGTTGCCGGAAGCTAGCCGCTCAAATTATTTCCAATTTCATTATCATTTCTGCCCGACCTACTCAGTGCCATAGCTATGCGCGCCTGTGTGCAGTCCTCGATCCTGAGTGGCTCTCCATATTGATAGTTAAAATTAGCTGCTTCAAACGCGTCTCCCATATTCTCCTCTACCACCCCTCGCCAAACCGGGCGGGGCCGGTCGCAGCGCAATCGGACCTTTCCACTCGAGCGGAGCGGCGTCTTACCGGGATTTAACGGCTGCCATTTGCATAATCCGACTGGTGTCTGTGCAGTCGGAGGCCGGTGACTTCGCTGGGTGCTGTACGATACGTGGTGTGGCCTCGCCCCGACTCGGGTTGATTATGGTGACCGTGCTTGTTGAATGTCGTCAAACGCACATGTGTTCCGAGGTTGCGTGCGCTTTGTGGCCCTCCATATGACTTTGATTATGCAAGCAAGGCCGAGGGGCAAACTTGTAGGCATGACAGGCTTAGCACTTTGGTTATCACATATCTGAGAAAGTGAGTGAACATTTGCCAACTCCACGTTATCGAGTAATCCCGCCGCTGTGTGTTTGTCTTGCGTTATATGCCATATACTTTCTGGCAAGAAACGTTGTCTGGCGCGTGTAAAATAGCTTGTGACTTGTGAGCTTCATAACTTGTGGGAGGTTCGGTGTGTCCAATAGAATAGGGTAATGGGATGTTTGTAACATAATATTGAGCATACTGTACTGCGCTACGTTGCCGCACTATAACACGTGCATCAGATGCACTGTATCTTCAACCCGATCTCCGTGCCACCCGCTGACCCGTGCCGTGTCTGTGTGTTTCAGATGGCGCTCTGAGCGCCCCCCTGCGGACCCGTTTCTGCAGTATGCCGACCGTGGAGGAAGTGCCCGACGACCCCGACGCAGACATACCGCAGGTCAGTACCATAGAGCCACCAAAGGACAGACCCTTGAAGCTCCCAACCGGATATACCGCAGGTCAGTCCCATAGAGATGCCGAGCATAGAGCTTTCACAGGTCATTTTCCCAGAGGCGCCACAGCCAGTGTCACAAAGCTGCCAGACACGGAGGTACCTCGGATCGTCTGTCAAAAAGACCATGGGCCGGGCCCAAGTGTTTTAGGTCGGCCCGTTCAAGCTTGCAAATATCGAGGGGCAGTGTAGGAAGGTGACAACATATGGTACCGGGCTCGTCAGACAAGCAGTCAGTCGGTCAGTCGGCCAGTTAGTCATTCATTCAATTTCTTTTCCGCCTTTCAATGACTCACAGTAACCACATAAGTTCCGGTTCCAAAGTTCAACCCACGTTCCATGTGATAGTTACGAACAAAATGGTCAACGAACTTGACACATGGTAGCTAGATCGGCCTGGCACAACGTCACACGCATATCCGCTCTCATCCTCACACCCAGCTGTGAAATGCATAAATTTCACCGAGCGTGCGAATGTTTGCAAGTAACGCGAAACTCGCGCTTTAGCTAACACTATTCGACGAGCACACCAATCGTGCCTTGCTGTCAGAGTCCATGAACTGTCCGGTCTTCTAACGGGTCGTGCCAGCTTCTTCCAGCGGTTGGCTGTCAGGGATGCGACCCAGACTTTGTTCGTGCACCTCGGTGCCATCCCGTGAACTGTTTGCTCGCTTTTCCTGCAAGTGACAGGAAAGATGGAAAATTTTACGTGTGTATGAGTCAGCGAGCGGCAGCGACCAGCCTTTCGGTGTCCTCTGATGGATGCTCCATAAGTGGCTTGTTGTGATGTAGATTGTTCATTTTCCTTCTTCACACCCTGGTGACAAACAAGGATTAAGTGACGGTGCTTGATGCTTTGCAGGACTAGGCTATACTATGATTGAAGGTGTCGGATTCTGATACCTAACGGCGTATGAAACATGTTTTCGTATTTAATGAAAAAAAAATGTGAAAATGGGCGCTTTGATAATGGGGTGGAGGCACCACATACCTAGTATGGTCAGCAGAAAATCATCGTTGCTCTACACGTTTCAAAACAATATCAGAATATTGTCAGCAATTCCGATCAAAACTTACTAACCATTCTAGCTACCTCGTGTCGGCATGGCTACATTATTGACTTACAGTTTTTTAATATTCGAAATGCATGAAAATTGGCAAGACTTATGTAGCGGCACGTTTTGTTGTAGAACGGTGACCTTTTTGCCAAGCGGGGAATGACTCCAATTTATTCAATCGTGCACACCGCGTCAATGCTGACAGCTGAATGCAATGTCAATTAATTTGTCAGACGCAGTGGCGCTACCTATGTCATCAACATACTCGAGCGTTTCTTGTGGCGGCCGTGACACCATTCTTCAGGACTCCGCACCCAGCCCATGATTATAGCACACTAATTCTCAACCGTGTGGCCTGCATTGCATCCAGTTATCGCTAAAAAAAAAAAAAACAGGTGTGCCGTGTTCGTTAGTGTCGCGTCACAAGCAGGAGCAATGTCCAATCAGACTGAGGAACGTTACAAGTTAATTCAAAGCATAGGCTGGTGATTGCGAGCCCGGGATCTCTGGCGTTTTTATTTTTCTTTCGTTAGTTAGGCCTTTTCGGTCAATTGAGACCTTTCAGAGCCGTGGGATCTCGATATGGATGAGTTGATCTTGACGATAAAAAGGCGTATCAGTCCTGCATTTTCTGTCGTGCCCAGACTGAGCAGGGAGCAGTACCCTGGCCCTGACGTGCCAGAACAGCCCCCTGTCGACCTGCGCGACGTCTGGCGGTGATGCGGCGTACCTGACGCGGCACCTCTCGCCACTGAGCGCCGCCGCGGGCTGCGCCGATTGATTCAGACGGCGCTGGTTTACGCGCCGTAAACGTCACCATACGCGCAGCGCCGGCTTGTACGGGCGGTGCTCTGCGCCGTATTTGCCGCGAACGGGTACTGATCTCACCTCGAGGGGTAATTTCAGCGGATGAAATGGTACCCCTTCGGATGGCGTATGTTCTTTCCGTTGGTTATCGCGTTATATACGCTCGCCTCCTGACATTCAGGGCAGATGAAATCGTTGATGAGAATTTGTGACATGATCAGGAAATAATTGAGTGATTTCTTCAGGCATGACCAACATACCGGGCTCTTTCTTTATAACTGACTGAATTAACGAAGGCGCCCTTTTCACAATTTGAAGTTAATAAAATTCAGCGATTATAAACCGCCATGCCTGCTAACGCTTATAATACGTGAGGACGGAGAGCAGACTTTTTTTTGCACGGGTCACGGTCTACAAATGCGGCACGCGGGGGTCGTCCCACTGCCTCCAGCCGAGGTCACCTGTCGCTGGTAACGCGGAGGAGTTATGTCCGTCTGCGGTCTGACCCTCGCCGAGTCGGTGCTTTATGATAAGGCATGATTTACGGGTCAGCGTTCTGACCCTGGTTGGGTAATTTGAAGGCGCGCCGACGTACTGACTGATGCCACTGTCAGAGGAATTTTCTCGTTTTGCTGTATCGGATGCTTCCATGTGAAGCTACGAGAAAAGGAGTGTTGTGTTTTATCGCGCGGCAATGGTCATTAGTCAGCATGACTATGAGTAATTGTTCATTTCATATTTGTCATGCTGTTTTATTTCGCATCGTTCTGTGTTTGGTTTGCTTATCTAGGGACGCTGGCTCCTGAGCATGTTTTCCGATGCTTAGAGAAGTAGGGTAGTTTCTTGACATACGAGTACGGCACCACTTGTCGAAATCAAAGAGCTCCGGTCACCTTATCAGAAACTCCGCTGAAATCTTGAGATCCTTTAGGACACTGATATTGCGAGTTGTTGTGCCAACTGCTGTCGTATCAAATGACTGACATCGGCTGGCATTCCCGTGCGAATTATCTTGGTTAATTCATTGTTTGATAAGTAATCGGTGCGGCTGTGGGCGTTGTCCGGTCGAATTGATTTTTTTTTGCTTCTGTGTTTCATCAGGATTGTAGGCACTTCAGTCGTTTAAATTTATACACACACCGAGTAAGTTTCACGCCACGGCTCACCACATTTCTTTATTGTAGTAAACACCAGCACCATGTTATCTTATCCCTCATTCCTTCCTCTCAGTCCCTCTGACTCTCCTAATCTATTTATTCATTCGTCCGCCTATGATCTATTCCATTGTCCTTCCGTCCTTTATCCCTCCATTTCTCATTCTTCTCTGCTTCCCTTTCTTCATGGCTCGGATCTTTTGATCGCTCCGATGACCGTGGCTGCACGTGGGACACTTCACCTACATCATCCACTATCTCCCGTCACCCTCGGTCGGCCGGTCTCCGAGCCAGGACCCACCGGTCAGCGCCATCGTAGAGCGGAGGTCACACACGTCACGTGCCCTATGTTCTGTGGCCGCGGCAGTGTCACGTGGCTTGTCTGTCCCGTGACCGAGCGATGGTGCCACAGAAAGTGGGCTTGATAGCGATCGGAGGGCAGCAGGCACGTGTCTGGGACGCGGGTATCGCTCCTGAGAGCGGTCTTTCGCTCCGTTTGGAGGACGGTCTGGGTGGCTGAGGTCCACGGAGGGCAGTTGAGAACGTGGGGAGATCGGTGGTAGCAGGCTTGAGGAACAGTGTGGTGTGGGCTGAGCGCTTAGACAGCGTGGACAGGTACGAGGCTGAAAGGTAAGAGTTGTCCTGGCGTGTTGTTGCTGGTCCTATTTTGTGTTCATACCCTGTCATCGATGTGAATCTTGGGTGGATGATTTTTTTTACGTGTGTCTCCTCTCACAAGTTACAAGTTACAACCAGCAGCTTGTTCTCCATCATGAGCGTTTCCAGACCAAAACTGACCAGCGTTTCTTCGTTTCAGCATCTGCCGTTGCGAGCGTCCTTCAGTCTGCCGTGCGACCGAACGAAGTGGGCATCTTCCCGTCTCTGACCGAGCACATGCTGGCCGACCTGCACTTTCACGCCGACGAGTGAGTACAACTGATGGGACTACTCATAGACCTCTGGGCTACTGTGGCTGGTCTGGATGGTCTGTTGCTTGTGCGGAGGGAGGGAGAGAGAGAGGAGAGAGGAGAGAGAGAGAGAGGAGAGAGAGAGGAGAGAGGGAGAGGATGGGAGATGAGAGAGGAGGGGGGGAGAGAGAGGGGAGAGAAGGGAGGAGAGGAGAGGAGGAGAGAGAGACGAGGAGAGAGACGAGGGATGGAGAGGAGGAAGAGGGGAGGGGAGAGACGGCGAGGGAGAGAGAGAGAGAGAGTGAGGAGAGAGAGAAGGGATAGTGAGGAGAGAGAGAGAGGGAGGAGAGAGAGAGGAGAGAGGAGAGAGAGGAAGAGAGAGAGAGAGGGAGAGAGAGAGAGAGAGAGAGAGAGGAGAGAGAAGAGAGAGAGAGAGAGAGAGGAGAGAGAGAGGAGGAGAGAGAAGAGGAGAGAGAGAGAGATTTTCCGCGGCGTGGTTAACTAATAACTATACCCATGACATTATGTCAAAAGGTCCTGGGTCTGAAATACGGGATCGTTTCTGGATTTCAAGTGAGTGGTTTCCTGTATCCCTCATCACTTATCTTTTTACTCACGATACCGAGTCGTGAAGACCTGTGTGTACGAGCTGTTCCACTATGCATATTTGTGATGCAATTGTCACTAAGGCGAACTATTTATGGGGCCCTCGTCCACCTGAATTCAAGTTATAAACGCTTGGGAAGTGAAAATAGCCCTGTCTGGTAATTCAGGTGACGTCAGATATCGTCAGTAATTCTGAAAATAAATCTGTGAATACGGAACAGCTCGAAATGCTCCAACACCTGCACACAGCTGTTACCGAGCGCCTCGAGCTATTATGTCTGATATGACCGCTGAGGCGCTGAGCAGCTGACAGTCGGCCTTACCGGGCTAGGCGTCTGTCTGTGAGTGACCATGAGGCGGTCCGTGGCCGGCCTATTGTGCGAGCACCGACGGACGTGTCAGAGGTGCACACAATAGCTCTGTGATGACAGCTGGAGGGGGTGTCTCGAGGCGTCGGTCCTCTGCTATGTAGCCGCCCTGGGAGATAGTCCCTAGAAGCCTAGATTCCGCGCTCAGACGCGCCCGAACCTGATCAGGATGTTTGTCTCGCGACGCGTTCCAGCCGCGTTTGGCTCCCGTCTGACGCCGTGTCAGACAGACAGAGTGTTTCGGCGATTTGAACACAATGCAGGCTCTGTCCGCATTCGGCCGGTGTTATGCGGAGTTTATATGTATGTGGAAGGTGGATGGGATGCCATGGAGGTCGGAGGTTCTGTTCCGAGATGGAAACTGGTGGTGCCAGGAAATGGCTTGCCAGTCGTTTGTCAGAGCCGCCAGCGTGGCTCGCTCACCACTTTCGGGTCTTTCAATCTCATCCTATGCATACAGAGTTTCGCTGAGTTCTTCAGATACTAAAATGCGCCGAGACAAGGAAAATTTTGTCCTGCGCATATCGAAAATCCATTAGAGCAACAACCATCAACACGCTTTTCGTATTCGCCGTTTTCACCTCTAGCACGGTATTACTGTGGACGTCAAACCGCGTGGGACGCGACTTTTTCGCAATAACTTTTGAATACGTTGCCTCTCAAGAACGAAACTTCGGCAATGGACATTTCAGACCCCGGCCTAATTTTTATTATTAAGGTTTTCTAATGTCAAATAAATATTTAGGGCAAGGATTTAGGGTACTTCCCGCTCACTCGTAAGGCTAAGTGAAATATCAGCCCGGGTGGCGGCTATCGCCATGCTGCTGGCGAAGCCCCGCCTACTAACTACGAATTCCATGCCATCTACCGTTCAGACACGACTGCCATCTGTCGGTCGATCCTCACTCAGAACCGGTTCTGCATGCTGTGTGCGTCGGGTCTCAGATGGGCGGACATCTCGAAGCCGAGATTGTTCAGTATGGCCTTTTACCAGGTTTTTTAATCCGAGAAAAAAAAAACGAGATTGTTCAGTATGGCTCTTTACCAAATTAACTATACGAATTATTGACTTAGCAGCAGGGATGCAGAGCCTTGAACATTTGAGTCAGCTCCAGCTCCGGCTCCGGCTCCGAGTAAAATGGCAATACGGCTCCGGCTCCGGCTCCCACTCAGGGCAAAATATGACGGATCCGGCGGATCCGGCTCCCCTCCGGCTATGCATACCGGTGCATTACGGAAACATTTAAGTTGGGGCATATTGGGGCTTGGCAGGATAACGCGAAGTGTACTAACGTTCCTGGCGGTTTGATATCTACAAGAACCTAAAATTAAAATGTTAATTAAAAAAAATTAACTTCACTGTGTTAATATATATATATTATGTATCTCATTTACGTAATTACGTTGACAAACTTATTAAATAATCATTTAATTATTTTTGTTATTCTTAAATCATCGTAATAATTGTCGTACGCGTATAGTCTTCCTATCTGGGTGACATTCTTAGCGAGTCGAAGAAAATATACATTCTTGCAGCCCTTAGGGCAAGCATGAATAACGTACGCCATGCGGCTGGGTGTGTTGGCAGGAAGCACCGCGTACCAACCCCTACGGACCGCGACTGACCGGTCTCGGGTCAGGTAGCGCCTCAGGCAACGGCCAGCCGAGGCGGAGCTTAGCTCCAACGTCACACTATGGCTCCGCCCCTTGTGGAGTAGCCTCTGCTCACCGAGAGAGTTTCAGGAGCAAAATTTAACATTACGAGTGATCGGGAAGTGCCCTAAATATTGATCGGACATTGAAAAACCTTAGTAATAAAAATTAGGCCGGGGTCTGAAACGTCCATTGCCGAAGTTTCGTTCTTGAGAGGCAACGCATTCAAAAGTTATTGCGAAAAAGTCGCGTCCCACGCGGTTTGACGTCCACAGTAGTTCTGTGATAGATAATAGAACATGCCTGCTTTCCTGATCATAATTCGTTTACCAAATGTCTCCGAGGCACCTAACACAAAATGATCTAAACCTCGCCTTGTGTGATTTAATTGCCTTTTATTTACCACTCGCCCTCGGTCCTGTCTGTCCCATTCTGCGGCGGCGGCGGCGGCGGCTCCAAATTAGCCCGGTTAATTACCCCATTACTGTGTGGTGTTCACCGCCCGGTGCTTGGCCGACGTAGGACCGCTTTGATGACGAGGCGAACTGGTCCCGAGCGATGCCGTCGGCTCTCACCAGATGTGTGAACCATGATGGATGACGCTGATGAGAATGTGATGAGATTACGGCGAGCGGTGAGGGAAGTCGCTGACAGACGAAACACGCGAGTAATTAAATGGGATTGGGAGTAAAGGAGATGTAAAATACCGTCTGCTCGCTATTACAATGACTTTTGTAGTTCCTACAGTGTATAGAGGTTGGGTTTGGTTTAGTTGGCACGCCGCGGTGGCCCCGGGAGCTCAGTTTGCCCGTGTTTGCTGGTCGCCGGTGGGTGCCGACGCCACGTTTACCCCTGGCGTCAACATTAGGCCGGGTCCTCACACGGGCAGGCGCTGGTGGGACCAGCCGAATCTTCCACGGTGGGCCCGGGTCCCGTCACTGACGGACCCGAGACGACCTTCAGACAGGTCTGTCAGGAGGTTCGAGTTGTGCTTTTGATCCGCTATCGGAGTCAACAGGTATGGCCCGGGATGAACATCTCAATGGTAGTGAAATATCATTTGGAATACGTTTATTCACCGTCGCTGCTTAATGCACTCTTAAATCTTTCAATAACCTTTATACGATGCTCACAAGTCACGAGTTAGTGGGCGGGAGTTAGTGAACAGTGAGCGAACATTTTCTGGCCCTTATTTCTTAATTTTCCCGGCGACAAACATGATGCTTCATGCTACGATTATTTATGCATTGTTTGGGAAGGAATTGCCTGCCATTTAGTACGCTTCGTTTTTATGATACATCTTGTTGTTTATACTCGTAACAGTGCATAATCCAATTTGTGTTTCGTCTACTACTGGCTGAAAAGTTATGATAATTTAACAAATAAATGGCTTTTTATTATACGAGCATGATTAACTTAAAAGAGACTTATGATATTGGAAATACTGGATATTAAACTAACCGTTTTATATTCTTGTTAGCGTCTGTTCCACATTGCATCATGCGATCACGGCACCCCTGCTTCATCTATCTCCACACCCAAGCTGTTGAACCCGCTTACACCAATCTTCTTGGATATTAGATCGGAGCATAAACCGAATCACCCCATACGCTATGACTTACGCGATGATTGTGACTATTTCATCCGGGCTAGCGTGCAGTGCCACAGTGCATTTCAGCTGTCGGTGTGAACTTAAAGCTAACGAAGCCACGATTTTCCCATTAGCTCGGTATTCCAATAGCCACAGGCGTAAGTCGAGGGTGCTGCTAGTGAAATGAAGATATCAAACATGATGTGCCGACCGGCGCGATAGTCGCAGACGCACCTTTTTATGGGTTATACTGGCTCCAGCTGATTGGTCTTTAATATCAGCTTTCTCGGGGTAACACCTGTGTAATCCCGGCCCGCTCTCTGTCGTTTCTTCGAACACGGTTCTACAAATAGCTCGGAGGTATGCAGGCCAGGTCATGGAGGGTTCGTTAGGTTTTTACGGCCTGGATTGTGGCACGCGGCTCATGTCTGGGACTGTCATGGCTTCACGGGCATTGAACGTATACACCGCTGTCGTGTCGACGCATGCTTTACTGTAAGAGAGCTGGAGTAAGCTGTGTAAACTTTCTTTCTTTGGCACATCAGGTATGCAGCGGGTTTACGGTCGCCCGTCTTCACCGGAGGGGCGGCGGGGTAAGGGTGGAGTGGGGCGACCCCTGGCGGCCGGGGACCGGTCAGAGGGCGCCACTGTCACCGTACCGACCTGTCCACCAAAGGGTCCGTCGGCGACCGACGCGGGCGGGCGGCACTGCAGTGACCGAGCGCGTGGCGACGGGAGGGGCGGCGCGGGCTCCGACTGTCGGTGGGGTCAGGACAAAGGTGGGAGCGACGACCTCCCCA